ACAGTAATTTACCTTTGTGAATCACATTCTACGGTATCATCTTGAGTAGTTGTCACAATTGTTTGATGAACTCCAAGTATGATGTTTTTATCTCCATTTAAAATAGGAGGACACTAAAAGTCAGAGAGTAAAGACAAGATCATCAGTAAGAACAAATAACAAGAGAGTTTAAGAAGTACATAGAGGGAGGAAAAGTTGATCAATATATTGAATTGATTTTTTTACCTCAGTCTTTGGCTAAATTGAGGAATATTCACTATTTTCAGACTTTTCTTTAAGCAGATAGATTGAAAGTGCTGGACCAGGTAGTTCATATCAGGCCCTAGGTGATTAAATGGATGTAAGAAAATTGTCAGAACTGCAGTGCATTGATCTGGGTTTTAGTTTTGGTCTTTAAAATCTTAAAAAATAAATGGTGGATACAAAAATTAATCAAGGACGTGGAGATCCTGCCTTCAGAGGACAGCCAAGAGTCTATAAAATTCTCCTCGAGTACCTTTGTGTGTGTGTGTGTGTGACCTAGGATGACAGGAGTAAGAAAGCATTTTTGCCTCTGCAAGGCCTTGTCTCCTGGGGAACACAAACGTGAAATGTGCAAATACAAAATCACGTGCTACGTGTTAGCGTGAGCGTACAAAATGAGGTATCTGAGCTCCATCTGGGCAGTTCAGAGGATTAGGAAGGACAAACCAGACATGCTGGATTTTTCTTTTTGTTGCATAATGCTATTAAAACTTAAAAGGATAGAAATTGAAATAAAACAAGCACTACTGCTTTACAAGCTGGATTATAAATTTACTAAATTTAATGCAACGAATTGTTGATTGAGAATGTGGAATATGGTGATAAAAAGAACCCAGCTCTTAAGGAGTTTATAAATTAAAGAAGGGGTTGGATAGAAAAACATCTGAATGAGATTTTCAATATAAAGTGGAATTAGATGCATTCTGTCATAGAAATTCTAAGAACATGCCATGGGGAAAAAAATAAGAGGCTTGTTAAGCCTTCAGTAGAAGAGAACTTACGTTAAGCTGAATTGGATGTCAGTTGGTGGGCAAGATGATGAAGTATGTATCTTGAAAAGGGTGGAAATGCTTGCTATGCTTAGGCAGTGGTGACCAGTCTGACATGGCTGGAGCATAGAGTGCACTCTGAGATGTGCTGGGAAAGAGAGACTAGGGAGAGAGCATGATAGCCCCATGGAGCCTATGCTTAGAATTTGGGGCTAAGTCCATAGACTATGGGAAGCAATTAAATGTATTTGATAAGGAGTGTGATATCATTCAATGTATATTTTAGGCAGATAATTTCTGACAGGCACTATGACCGCCTAGACAATGTGAATTATTGAAAGTAGAGAATAGCTGGGGAGTTTTGTAATAGCCCAAGTGAAAGATTTTAAGGTTCTGCATTAGGATTATTATTCAGAGAGATTGAAGAGAAAGAGTTGATGTGTTAGAGATAATGGGTGGGTATTCTGTTAAGTGGGGGATGATGGAGCCATAATGGATTATTCAACGTATTATATTTTAGGCTGCATGTAAAGTGTACTTTGTCTTCCTGGCCTGTGTAGATTATGAAGACTCCAACACAATTTGGTATTTCCTATACTGTTACCATACACAGTGCTGCCATAGTGACATATAGGATTCACGTAATAATTGTGTCCCGTTCCCTGCTTATTCTTTTGCCTTATCATGAGCTAAACTCAGCTAAGGGTTCTGTGCTCCTCACTGCTTGAGCTCCTCACTGCTTGTGCTCATTGGCAAAAAATAGAGAAGCTATTTAGTGTAAATATTTACTTTGGAGTCCCAACAAATATTTTGAAAAGGATTTAGGAACCCAGGCAATAAAGGTAAATTTTGTCTGGTGGATAATGAATCAAGATTTTGTTGTTACTGGTTAGGTGAATCACAACATTATGTTTACAAAGCTACTTGCAGGTGAAATAGACTTATCGTGAGTTTTACTCTGCCCCAAATAGGGTACAAACGTTTGTTTTGATTGTGGTTTTTTAAATTTATTTCTTATTTATTTAGCATACTGTAGGACCATAGAATTTTTTTTTCTATAATAGTCGTTCAAAAAGATTTTGTGTATGTGTGCACGTGCCTACATAGACATGTGGTAACTTAAGAATACCATTCAGTAGTTCTACACTTTTAATGTTTTTCTTTGCTGAGCGTTCTTTTTCAGCACAGGATAGTAATTTTTCACTGACAATATGGATTTCACTCCACCAATTAAGATTAATATATTGCACGTAGTCCCACAGATTAAATGTCTGAGTGCATCTGATAATTGTGTATCCATTTTAACATTTACAAGTTGGTCGTCCACTTTTACTGTAGATGCTTACACTAACTTTGCAAGGACACCAACCTTAGACTCAACAATTTTCTACTTGTGAATTTTGGCAGTGATTACAAGCCTAGTGGTGGTCCTACCTGGGAGAAAAGTGTCAGTGATGGGGAGGATGGTAAAGTTCAAGGATCCTGAACCAATGTATATATGTGTGTGTGTGTATGTGTGGTGGTGGTGGAAGGTAGAAGAGAAGGAATCTGATCTTTGAATGACTGGAGAAAAAAACCATATGAACCTTTTACCTTCAATGCTGTCAGTAATGGAGAACAACTCAGAATACCACATGATGTAAGATATGGCAGCAGAGCTCAGGTTGAACGTCACAGTCGGGATTTAATGTATGTTATATATTGAAAAGGAATATATCCTCTCCCCCTTACCTGGAATACCACAGGAATGTTGTATCACCATGCCAAGAAAACAGCAATCAGTTGACATGAATTAGTCAAATGAATCATAAGAGCTGGTTCTATAAATGGGATGAGATTTAGAGATATAGCAAGCATTTGATTAAAGGCACGACCTGGGTATTATTTATGTGTTTCTTATGGTCATCAGATCTTCCTTCAGTGTCCCACACCAGTCATCAGTAGTGTGTAGATGCTTACCACTAGATGCTGGCCCATAAAGGCACAGATGAAGCTGAGGAGGGGTAAGAGAGTGGCTGTGAGAAGTGTGAATAAGAGGGATGCTTGAGGTATTAGCAGCTTAAGACAACTTGTTTTCATCCATCATCTGCATTTGTCTCGGGACTCACGTTTTTTGCTATGTGTTGTTGAGGGTGGTTATATAATGCCAAGAAAGGACCCTTGTGGTAAGTCATAAAATGCATCGATGGAAACCACCCAGAGTACTGAACTTCCTGAAGCTTTGGGGAGCCATCAGGTGGGGGTGGGTTTCATGCATCCTTCTTTCCCTGGGCTCTCCTTTGCAGCAGCTTTTAATGTGCCCCTTCACAGGACAGCAGCTCCCCTCCCAGAGACAGAATCCCATTGGAGGGAGTGGAGAATGGCCTTTCCGTAGTCTGCCAGCTTTCATAATCCTGTCACAGCTGCAGAGAACAGGCTGTGTGACCTCAGGCAAAGTATTTAGCCGTTGTCTACAACAGTTTCCTCATCTGTTGATAAGGATAGTAAAGTCATTCAATGTGAGCATGGAATAAGTTACTGTGTAGAGAACGTTAAGAATAATTCCTGGCACATAGGAAGCACTCAATAATTCATACCATAATTATTCTCAGTTTTCTTCCTTCTTAAATTACAGGGAGATATAGATGTAATAGTAACCCTGAGAATAACTTAAGAAAATTAAGTAATTCACCATATTTCAGAAACACAACTTCTCCACATGCTGGATAAACATGTGGCACAGTGATCCGCTAGATAATTCCAGACCGAACAAATCCAAATGATAACTTGTGCCAGAAATTCACTTTTTGTATTATTTAGTCCTGACTAAAAACTACAGAAACTAAGGGACAAGTCAGGTATTTATTCTGAAGCAGAGTATAAACACAGCTGTTAACAATGCGGTGGAAGAATCATAGAAATCCATGGTGCAAAAAGTGATATCCTCAACAGCTACCGTGAAAGGATGAAAAGGCACCAAGCACACGCTTTCCTAAGTAGCTTCCCATATTTTATATTTTTAGCACCTTGTCTTTTAAAGAATGCAAACGTAGTTCTGTAGGGCAGTGAAAAGCCTTGTTATTTGGTAAGTTGGGTTTTTACATTTGTATTAATGGAAATCCAGAAGGACGGCAGTTACGGGGGATGAAAGATTGTTGGAATGACAGATTGACTACTGTATTTCTCAGGTTATGAAGTTCAGGAAAATGTGTAATTATTTTCGAGCTTCCTCAGATTTCTCTGTTCAACATAATGTCCTGACACACAGAAGGGACAGTTCCAGATATGAAATGCAAATCAGGAGGTGCTGCCCCTGCCACCCAGGCCAGGGTTAATCATGCAAATCTAATGCAGTTCTTGGTATTTCAAGAAAGGTTTCAGTTGAAGTCTCAGGCACATGCTGATTTAAATTCCTACTTCACAGAGCAGGGTAATTTTTTTCAGCTTCAAATTTTAAATATAAAAGAGGATTTGGGGACTGATTTATTGACTGGACATCCATCCATTTTGTTGGTCGTGGAAAGGAGTGGAAGTAGGAGTGGGAAGGAAAGGCACCCTTAAAGAAAGTGAGGATTTCTAAGCATGTTAAGTAATAGATTAGATCTAAATTTACAAATGTTCTGTAGCCAATCCCTTTGTTTGGAATAAGAGCAAATCAACCAATTATACATGTTTACTGAATATCTGCTCTGTTCAAAGAAGATGGCTAAAACTGGCAAGAACAGATCCAATAAAAAATAACACTACAACAAGTTCCTAACTTTGGAAATGATATAAAATCCCTTTGGAAATGAGACTGTTTACAGGAAGAAATGAAATTGTCTTGCTCACAAGTGCAAGCTGACACGTTCTAATAGCTTTTCTGCTGTGCATAATAAGCGTCAGCTTATCTTTCCAAGAACAATAAAATGTCATGTACTGCTGCCTGACATAAGAATTATTTTTACATATCTCCATATCGCTGACTCTCTTGTAAGTTAATCTCATCTCACATGAATTTTTCACCAGCTTCACTCTGATGTTGATAAAGGAGATGGTTCCATCAAATACATCTTGTCAGGCGAAGGGGCAAGTTCCATTTTCATTATTGATGAGAACACTGGGGATATTCATGCTACCAAGAGGCTGGATCGCGAGGAGCAGGCCTACTACACGCTGCGAGCCCAAGCGCTGGACAGGCTCACCAACAAGCCCGTGGAGCCCGAGTCCGAGTTCGTCATCAAGATTCAGGATATCAATGACAATGAACCCAAATTCTTGGATGGGCCATATACTGCTGGAGTTCCTGAAATGTCTCCTGTGGGTAAGTCAAGAGCATTACTTTTGCATTGAGTGATTTGAGGAAATTTGTCCAAAACTAAATCATCATAAGTTCTGAAGAAAACCACATTAGTATTTGTATAGTAATTGCCAGTTAGGATGAGGGGGAAATTTGGGACATGTTAGTAACCAGTACCCAAATCTAATTCTTCAACTTATTATTTTATTTATATGGAAAATTAGGAAATTTTTCCTTTTACACAGAGATCAAAATGTCTTCAATAAATTACTTAGGTCTTACATTCCCTTTTCAATTTAATATTTAAAATTTTTTTAAAGTGATTAAAATTATGCCTAAGAAGTTAAAAAGGAAAATCTTTCCAGACACAGCCCTATGATGATCTTTTACTTTTCTTTCTCCTGATATTAGGATAATGATTCACTATTCGAAACATCTCCCTGTGGCCAAGATATCAGGCAGGCTGTCAGTGATTAGCCAGGCTAACATTGGATCAGCCGGACTATTTGCTTGTAGAGTGTTGGAACCCACAAACGTCCATCCGCATGCCACCACTAATCCTTTTGTAATTTCTCCAGAAACTTAGATGCATGAAAATTTTTTACTGAATTGATAATAATGGTAAAGTGATACACAGTTTGAGATATATAATAGAATAATGAAGGCTGTTTTACTTAAAGGCCTTTTGACATTGCCCCATTACTGGAAAAATAGAAGGTAAAGTACTTCTAGTATATACTTTATTTAAATCAAATACTATTAAACTCTGTTTTAAAGTCCATTTAGTCAGGTATTTTGGAATAGTTTTCTGCCAGTATGTAATTAAAGTATGGATGATCTTACAAAATAATAAAAAATGATAAGGCTGGAAGAGATACTAGTTGACTTCTATGTTAATTTCCTGTTGTTTTTAGTATTGAAGGAGGAAGTTAATTTAAGATAATAATTGAATTTGCCTTTTACCACATGAAAATTGTACCCAGTGTGATTTGCTTTACTTTAAATGTCATTTCATCCATTCCATCATTCCGTCAGCACATCTTCTGTGTGGAGGAGTCAAACTGCAAAGATGTGTTATGTATGTCACAATGTAGTGACCCTAAATTTCTGTTCCTATCAGATGAGAGAGGGAAAATTATTTGGAGCACCATGGCTCTAGCTGCTAAAGAAATACAAACTGAAGATGAGCCAAAGAAATTGATGCTTGTGCTCAGGAAAAATTCTGAAACGCAGTGGCCGTATCTCACTCTAGTTAGCTTATATATAAGCATTTCTTTGACCAGACAGGCTTATTCACACTTTCTCAATACCGCCCACATCTTCAGAGTGCTTCCTGCCGTTGTTGCTTAACAACAGTAACAAAAACAACAACAATGATGACAGCAGCAACAAGATTTTGGAGGTTTTAGAGAGAAGAGAAGGCACATCGTCCTCCTCAAAGTAGTAATGTTTAGAAAAACAGGACATTTTGAGGTGTATTTGAGCAGTTCAGGTTGAGTCTGTAGTTCTCATGGGCTTGCTGGGCGCTCTTCATTGGCTTGCTAAGGTTTTCCTTTCCTATATTGAATGTTGCGATGCAATTTGGATTAATGCGAGCTTTTTGATTTAGACGCTAAGTAATGCACTGTAGTTTTGGTTTCAGTGGTACCACTCTGATATCAAACAGCATGATTATTATGCACACAAGTAAGTTATTTTAGCTATTTGATTGTTTCCAACAGGCTCAGAGCTTTTTAGAAAATGATTTTCATATGTCTTTAGCATTTACTTGACACTGATTTAGATCACTGGGTTAATATCAAAATTCAAACTAAGAACAATGAGTGTCTATATAAAATATGTTATATGGATTTTTAGTGAGTCAGAGTTTATCAAAGTGTTTAATTCTAACCAAATATTATAATAGCCATTAAATAGTATAGTATAACAATGTAAGATTTCAGTGTTTAATATTCAGGACTATTTCTTTTTCATTGCATTCTAACTAATTATGAGATTTAAAACACACTCATAAGCCCTTATGGTAACTTATTTATTACCAGAATAGATAAGCATGGAAAATTTAAAGTTATTTGAGAATATGCATGTTTGTGTAGTAAATTACTTAAGGAACACTTCAGAAAAAATTATATAAAACTAAAATTACTGAGGTATACTTTTCATTATTTTGTTTGTTTAAGGTTGTTTTCTTTTCAAATGAAGTAGGAAATCAGTACTAAAGCATATCACGAAAATAAATATTGCTGTAAAGATGGTGTGTTATAGAGAAAACAGGGAACATGACTATAATTGTTCTAGCATTTTAAAATAATCAAGATTTAATTCTTAAGATTTTTAAATATACATTATTTACCATTTGGTCCTACTGGGCATCCACATGGCACAATCACCCAAGTCTGTCAAATGAAAAAGTAACTTCTGAATTTAAAAAATGGTACTATATATGTAACTTTAGAATTTCCACCCCGTTTTAAAGAAAATAAAATTGATAAGGGAAATTATAGTGTGGAAGAGAGAATGGATTTGTAACAAAGTGGACATTAATGACAAGGTATTTAGAAAGAGAGTCTCTGTAGGAATATATCTAAAAGAGATGTTAGGTTAAAAATGCCATATTTTCAAGAAATTATTAGAAATGAACTTGAACCTTAAAAGAATATATGGAGAAAGGGACTTATGTCATCCCTATCAGATAGGACATATATGATAAAATAGCGTGTGCTTAACCATATAAACCAAGCAAACGTATCTAATATTTTTAAGATTACATTCCAAGTGGAAATAAAAAGAACAGATCACAATACGTCGCTTATCCCATATAGAATAAGTGAATACATAGTAAAGTGGAGAAGCAACGTGACATTCTATCCTATGACATGTAGAAAAACAACTAATAATGCAATTTTTGATGTTGTCATGCTTTTCCTTCTTTAAGGGGAAAGTTTGGTTTAAATTCTCACTTCATGCTTTTGTTTTCCAATCAATGAATAGAAATGAAAAATAAAAGTATTACTGAAGAGATAGGATAGCCACCTAATATCCAGTTAAATGTATCAATTGAATATTCCTTATTCAGTTAGTGAAGTTTCTATTTCTGTCTGGGTCTGCTTAGTTACAACAGCGAGATTCCCTCGATGACTTGAGTGTCAAGATGCGATTCTTTGTCATGCTGCCTTCTGGACAGTGATTGAGACATACAGAGATTGCTCCTGATAAAAACTTGTTCCTGGACCCTGATGGATGAGATGCCTAACATTTGAGTCCCATCCAATTCTGAGTATATTCCTGTCTCACATACATCATCAATCTTATTTTTTACTAACGCATTTTTATATCACTTAAATATTTCTGAAAGCTTAATTAGCATTTGTCTTCTTTTTGAGTTAGTCTTATACAAAAAATATATCCATTTTTCATGTGCCTTGAAACAAGGAAAATGAAGAATTTAAAACATCGAATGTAGAATCTTCAGCATTATGTGAGTTTTTAGGTTTTGTGCCCTTTGAAGTTTTTAATTCATTGGTTTTGGGATTGGCGTGTAGGGACGTCGGTGGTACAAGTGACAGCAACAGATGCTGATGATCCTACGTATGGCAACAGCGCCCGAGTGGTCTACAGTATTCTACAAGGACAGCCATACTTCTCAGTGGAACCAAAAACAGGTAAAAACTGAAGTGCAGCACTCCTTGTAAAGTCATCATTTATGTTTTGACACAGAATTAATATTAGCTGTTTTTATTCAATATAATTGGCACTGATAACAGACACTATATTGTGCTTTGATCAAGATGTGTACTATGGTAATCAATAACATTATTTATAGAGGCATTAGCACCTTTTAAGAATATTTTATTATGTTTATCAGTATTCCCACGAAAATTAAACAAAATATTATAAATTAAAAAGTCTTTCATTGGGGCCAGGCTGGTGGCATGGCAGTTAAGTTCCAGTGCTCCAGTTTGGTGGCCTGGGGTTCACCGGTTTGGATCCCTGGTGTGGACCTATGCACTGCTTATCAAGCCATGCTGTGGCAGATGTCCCACATATAAAGTAGAGGAAGGTGGGCACCGATGTTAGCTCAGGGCCAATCTTCCTCAGCACAAAGAGGAAGATTGGCGGTGGATGTTAGCTCAGTGCTTACCTTCTTCAAAAAAAAAGAAAAAATTTCAGCTGCTATCTCCTAACTATATAAGAAAATAGTGATGATTCACTTTTAAGTTGTGCTTTTGTTTTGTTTTCTTTAATTAATTCACATAGGTTTTATACGCGGTAAAATTTAAATCTCAAGGAGATACCTCTCTGCCATGCAGTAGAATAGGGGTTCAGCTTATCCTTCCAGAGGCTGGTTTTCTCAGGAAATTATTTTAAACATGCATAACAATTAGGATGGTGATCTGCTAAGTCAAAAACTAAATTAAATGACTTTTTTTTTTTAATTTAGAGAAAAAAATTTTTATGAGTTGCCAAACTGCCTGGATAGAGTATTCGGTTGGTTGGCTAGATGTTCTGCTTTGATTTTAGGCTGAAATAGTTTACATCAAGTAAGACTATAATTTGGAGCACTGTTATCTTGGTTATAGAATAATATTTTATCTATTCTGCTTTTCTGCGTCTGTGTGTAGGGTAGGTGGGTGGCTGTGAAGATGGCTGAGTGTGTGCCCTTGATGTTTTTCATCACTCAGAAAATCTAAAATTTCTCTACATTTTAATAATTTTGCCTTTATCACAGAGAAGAATTCTTCTTCTACTAGCCGAGTTTATGATTATGAATATTTGATAGCACCTGTGATCCTAAATGAATATTTTAATGCCACTTATCCTCTTTCCCATATTTTAGAAATTGACGATAATAGTTCATTCTTAAATCATTGTGAGGGATAAATATTTTAAATGTCTTTTGAGAATGACAGTTGTATTGTGCATCAATAGGAAGGTAAATTCAATCCCAGCTCATCATTCCTTAGAATTTTCATAGAGACCACATTGCGTATTTTATACCAATGTAGTGGTACAGTTTGGAAGCCACCTGGAAAGTCTAATAATAAAGTAGAACTAGTTCTGATTAAGCAAGTATTGAAGGAGAAGTAAGTGAAAGTATTTGATTATGATATGAATCCTGTGAATGTAGAAGGTGCGCTCGTGGTTGATTTAATGATAGATCTGAGAAACCTACATTCAAACACCCACCCGTTCCCTTATATATCTGCTCTCTCCAGCCTAGAAAGACATTGACAAGTTTCTGACAATTTCCTCACAAATTACACACTCCTGCATTATATAATCTGTCCCAAAATAGCATGTGCTAATCCCAAGGGTTAAATATTTTGCTGCTATTAATGCCTGGCTTGTGATTTTAGCTGTGTTGTAAGATAATAGGTTTTCCATAAGCCCTGAGGCCTCACCGATTGATCAGCTGGACAATAGTCTCTGTCATGCAATCGCATTATTAGTACTTCAGATTTAATTATAATTTCAGAATCTCAAGGATTGTGTATTACAGGAGATGAAGAAAGTTTAGTTTAATTTTGTTTTGTTCAAACTAATCATTGGATCTTCTGTTTCTATAGTCATTTGTGCAGAGATGTTCCGGCAGTTTTTGTCCTCTCTACTAATTCATAACATGGAGAATGCATTTTCCAAAAAAAAAAAAAAAACCCACTGTATTTTTCTGAGAAAAATGTAAAATTTTCAGTCTTTGCGTGTATGAAGAGCTATAAATCAAGTGTGAGTTAGTCTCCCTCATTTTGTGTCAGTCGGATTCTTATTTATGTGAGAAATAACATTATTTTCCACATCTCCAAATCTGAGTTTTTGAGAAGAAAGTAAAACTTTTGAAAGGAAAAATGCTGAAAGTGTGTTAAATCAAGATTATGTAAAAATAGGCCCAGGAAATCACTGTTAGGCACATCTCTATAAGTTTGTTTAACTTCTATTTTGTTTTTCATAAAAAAAGAATATAATTAATAACCATCACTATTTGTTAATCACATACCATTAACCTAGCTTGGCTAAACCCTCTGAGCACATTTCCGTCTGTAGCACGACTTACAGGCCAAATGACAGAGGGTAACTATTTTCTACCATATTTTCTCCTCTCACAAAACAAGGAATGTGAGTAGCTGCAAAAACTAATGTTGTCAGTTTATTTCAACAAGCAAATAGAACGGCACTAGAAACAAGATAATACAGCATCAAAAGGACTGTGAAGATTCCCATCACCTGTCTTCACAATGTCCCCAAATTTACAGAGAGACTGAAGATTATTCTAATGTGTTCATCTATTCTGTAACCTACAAACAAATAGATCCCATTGTAGTGTATTTCATATATGGCAGGACTGGCTACATAATTTGCAGTTCAAAATGAAAATGCAGGCTTCTTGTTTTAAAATTAGTAAGATTTCAAGATGTCATCAGCAGAGCAAGGAACCAAGCATGGGGCTAGAATGACTGACAGGTGAGAAGGCCATGAAGCTGGCCCTGGAACATGGCTCGAGTGTTAAATATCACTTGTCATTTAGGAGTTCCCTCTTAAACATGGAGGAGTGACTACATGGTACCTGTGTTACACATTGCATGCAGGTTTGTTACATCATAATTTTATGTAAGTAATAGAGTCATAACAAGGCCCTCCTCCCAAATATGCCCTTCACACATTCTATTCTGTGGCATGGCTCACGGTATGGAGGACCCTCACTCCTGTTAGGACTTGCTGAGGATGTTCCCTCACAGGTTACAAAATTCCCTTCTTCAGGGACTCTTCATTTGATACAAGCTCTGGAATCATTTGATGTTCCAGAAGCTTCCATCTTTACTACTGTTGGCTGCTGTGCATCTTTCTTTCTTTCTTTTTTTATTTTTTGGTGAGGAAGATTCACTCTGAGCTAACATCTGTTGCCAATCTTCCTCTTTTTTTTTTTTTTCACTTGCATAAGATTAGCTTTGAGCTAACATCTGTGCCAGTCTTCCTCTATTTTGTATGTGGGTTACCGCCACAGCATGGCTTGACGAGTGGTATAGGTCCGTGCCTGGGATCCAAACCCACGAACCCAAGCCACTGAAGCAGAGTGTGCCAGACTTAACCACTAGGCAATGGGGCCGGCCCCTCTTCTCCATCTTTTAATGGTTCTATTATATACTTCACTTACAGGTAGATAAATCAAATAATACAAGGCTTAGACAGAAAATTTAGGAAGAAATACAAACTTATTAGGAAGAGATTCATCTTGTACAGCCAGTGTATATCAAACTCACACAGCATGAATACGCTAGCCCTGTGTTACCTGCATCATGCCTAGACTCCTGAGACTGTTCAAAGCTTGAGTGTGCAGCATGTGTAGGTTCCAGTGATTGTTTGGTTCCATAAGCTGGAGTAGATTTCAGAAATGGCTCTTATCTGTTACATGTAGTACACATATGAAGCCTTAAGAAGATTCCATGGTAACAGAATATGCTTTTTTTAAAAAATAAAAATTACCAGTGGCTGATAGGACGTTAGAGAATCATCTGAAAATTTATTCCCTGACTGAAAACCAGACAGTTGTGGAACAATGACAGTGATAAATTTATGTTTCAGATGCACAATACTTTTCATGAACATAGATTATAAATAAATGAAAAGTTCTGGTTTACTGGGTCAGATGATACATCTATAGAAAAATTATTATTCAGAAAGCCTAAAATCTTAGCCAGTTTTGCTTTTCTGAAGATATAAAGAGCTACTGGATATATTCTTCTCATCATAAGTGGCTTAAAATTATTAATTATTGAAATTAAATATTTTTATCTTCCATGAAAATCTCACAAAACTGTAGGGATCTGACTAGACAAGACTGACCTTTACCACTTCAGTGACATAATGTTAATCTGCTGTGCGTGTCTATATAATATATAGCAAGATGCAAATCAGATCCAATGCATGAGAATCATTTTCCAAATGTGGACAGCTTATACTTAAAAGGAAAAAGCTAGCAAATGTCATAGAACTAGAAATCTATTACTTTTTGAATATCCTTATTTAAATTCAATTCCCTCCCAATTCTTCCATTCTTGTCAAAAATATGTTTAATATTTGAGGTATTTGGAAATTACCTTTGCCACCTGCATTACTTTGCAAACTTTGTGATGATTTTTGCCTTGGAAAAGTATTATTTATAGGATCACTTGTAAAGAGACAATTAGAGGTGTGAAAAATAAGTGAGTAACTTTGACTACCAGACTTCTCTCCTAATAGTTCTGTATTTCCTTTCAAAAATAATGCCACTAGCAAAACCAGGAAATGATGAGGTTGCGGTGTTTTCTTTGCTGATTTGTTGAGATATTATGGACCTCTCTCCATCATAATAAATGTGCAAGAATAAAACCTCACTTACACATACTGATATTGGAAGGAGAAAATGACTCTAAATTAAAAATTAAAACTGAATTGAGTAGGAAATTTTTCTAAAAACTCATTAATATTTTGTCATTTAGATATGAAACATGCTTATTGGTCAAATATTCAAGATAGTCAATGCTCAATGTTTTTAAAAAAAAGCATTACAAATAAATACAGAATTATTAAAATAAAAAAAAAGAAAGAAAAAGAGAAAGGTGGAGCTATGTAAGTCCGAGCACTCTTAGAAAAAGATTATTTATGCTTGGTAACAGTGATTGTTACTGAGGTCAGTGCTCATTGCATTATATTTTAGAGTTAACAGAAGTATTGAAAAACAAACATGAAATATTCCTAGAAGAATTGTGGATCTAAGAAGAATATGTATCAGACAATTATCAACTGAACCAAATGGGTGTATGACTGTGTTTCTCTTGATTTTAACTGTGATATTTCAAATATTAACTATAAGCAGGGTGTAGATAGCCAAAAAAATTCAGTGAAGGAATTATTTAACATGCCCCTCTATTGCTGTGATTGTAGCAACGTCCAACACAGTTAATGTATTAGAGTAAGTGATTATTAACAACAACAACAACAAAACCCCACAAAAAACTGGCCTACTCAAAGAAGTATAAGTGCTTAAAGCATTGATGTATTGGTGGTGGTATGCGTGTGTGTGTATTTGTATTTGATAGTTAGTGCTCAGACCTAAACAAAAATATGGTTACTTAAGATAGTATGAGTGTTATTTAATTTGGAACCTTGGGAACCAATAATACATTATTTAAATTATTCTCCAACTATTGAAAAGCTTTTCTCATCTCTTCCCCACCCATACACTAGTTAACAGACTGTAGAATATTGTAAAGTATAGAGCTGGCCTAGTACCATATAACCTAAGCTTATAACTTATAGTTAGGACTGAAATATAACACACACAGACAATTGTTACATGTGTCTATTGAAGAATCAGCCTTTAAACAATTTAAATTGGCAGGTTTAAACAAAATTATAAGTTTGGAGGATATGGAAACATTTTCCTGTTGAACATGAGGAAAAAGGAATGTTTATCCCAATTTGTGTCCAATTATTTTCTTCTCAAAGAACCATCCTGTTATCCAACACCCCAGTTTTGCCTCTGAGAAGTCCATGATAGCAGAGGACCTCTTCCTCAGGTCCGAGTCCATGAGGATTTAAATTCTGACTTCCCCCTAAAAGTTAGAATCTGATTAATAAAATAGATTAGACATTTTTCAAACTAAGTCAATAAGCAAAGGGTCCTGGGTGGATCAGTAAGACATTGTCTGTGTGGAAAAGATAAAAGTGCAAGAAAGATTAAGAAGGATTCTAGACTCCTTATATGTAATTAGTAAAGATGGCCTCATATTGCTAGTTTCAAGGTCTATATAGATCAATATTAAATAAATACATTTTCATTTGATATTATCTATATGTACATATACTAAGTATACTAAGTATATGTGTCGTTTTATACATTTACATATAAGATAAACTAAATCCCATCTTGTAATTAGATATTATTGCCTAATATACTTACATAATAATTAAATTAAATTTTTATTAATATAAAACAACTAATTCACTACAATAATGATTATTGAGTAGTTTCCCCATCAAGCAACATGAAATTCTGAAATCCATTTCTCATACATCTGAAGTCTTAAAGGCCATCAGTATTAAATGCAATTGATCAGAAACAAACAACAAAACACAGCATATTTTTAGTGTTGTTGATTTCCATTAACACAATCATTCTCATCTTTAGTCCTTTTTCTCAGACTTTTAGATCCAGTGACATAGCCACGGTTTGAAATGGTGTTTTGCTTATTAAACATAAATCATTCTCACTCTTTTCTTCGTAGAGTATTTCTGTTATTTTGCTAGAAAAGAGGTAGTAGGGACCATTAGTAGGGACCATAGTTGAAAGGTTTATGGTGATTTCATGTCACCCGGAATTAAGTTGTTGAAGAGGGAGAAAGAGAAGATAAAGACGGGTTCATTGTCATATATTTGTACAGGTGACTGCCTATTATTCTAGATAAGAAGTACGTTTTATTTAAAGTTGGTATTTCATGAACAATATTTCCATGAAACCTAAAGATAATCTTCTCTATCCAATATGGAGAAACTTTGTTCTTTCACATTATAGCATGTTCTGTGTTTCATAATAGTGTATAACTGTTGTATTTCCTTGGCCTTTAATGTGCATTAAAATTATTAAAAATAAATAAAACAACAAAAGGCAGCAACTCAAGAGCGACTTGTGCCAATGTCAGTGTTCTTCATTAGTATAAATGCAGTGATTCATGATGCGTTTTACTGGGATTTGAAATTTTGCAGGAGTCATCAAGACCGCCCTCCCAAACATGGATAGAGAGGCTAAAGACCAGTATTTGCTTGTTATTCAGGCAAAGGATATGGTTGGTCAAAACGGAGGACTCTCAGGAACCACGTCAGTTACCGTGACCCTAACTGATGTCAACGATAACCCTCCTCGCTTTCCTCGAAGTAAGCTATTCTGTTCAGTGTTGCAAGGGCACTAACTTTTCTTGCCAATCTATAAAAATTTCCCTAAAAAGGAATTTTTCCAAATACTTCTCAAATGAATCTTACTACATTCTCCTACAATTTTGTTTTCTCAGTGGCATGATTTTAATTCAGAAATATGGAATAATAAGGGTATTGAAAACAAATAGAAGCAATCTTATCTTTTTATTCTATCTTAAATATAATATGTTTTTTCCTTCATTCACATTTTGTTTACTAGACAATTATTGTTTTTTATGTAGTAATCTTTTTATTCTGACTTATTTTTTATACATTTTGTTAGCTATGTGGTTGTTGCCACTTAGTAATTGCTTTATTTGTAAAGTAAAATATTGCTTTATTTTTTAAAAATTTTTTAAATAATATTTTTAAAATATTTTTTACTTTTAAAGTAAAAATAGAAGAGTACAGAACTTCTTTATTTTTCATCCCACACTTTTTTTAACCAGTTCCGACACGGTGGACATGCCTTTGGCTGGTCTTCCACATCTTTCTTGTGCAAACACTCAGGTGTTTCGGAAGAAATCAATGCAAAGAACCAGAAAACCACATGCCCTCAATTTAGTCTCTTTGACCAAAGCGGCTTTTGTCTTAACAAAGAAAAAGGGAAAAAAAGATTTCTTTAGGTAGAAATGTCTGGCTGTAAAAAAAAGCATTTCATCTCATTCTCTTTTGGTTGCTTTTTTTCTTTTTTATGTGTATGTGGTATTTATTTAGAATGCTCAAGAAAGTAAGGAAATTGTACAGACTACAATGTCTCTAAAATGCTTGTCTGATAGAAATGGGGAACTAAGCTCCTTGACAAACAGATCTTAGAGGCAAATGATATTGAATAAGGAAGCTTTCTCTGCAAATATGAATGTCACTGTTTTCTCCTTGAAATGTTGCTTCTTTAGAGGTTTATTTTTTATTTTACATATTTTATTATTTATATTGCTATTGTACAACAGTCATTTCAATACCTCCTGGCAAAATAAAGAAAAATTACCCTAAGTTTAGCACTTAATAAAATGAACCTATTCTTAATTGTGTTCATGTTGGCTCATAATGGAGGATGAGAGGTAGATTGTAGGATTAAAAAAAACCACAAAACATAATTATGTAATTATATTGGGCTCATGATAAAATTAACTATTTCTCTTTTCTTTAAGCCTAGAGTGATAAGAATTGATAATTAGAATTTTTGTGGTTTCAGTTGTCATGATTTGATAAAATAGAGCACTGTTTTCTAGCTTATTAGATAATCTCCTACTTATTAAAGTGAGGGAAGCCAAGGATATGTCATTAGGTTTTTCATCTTTGCTGGAATTTTCTCTACCATTTAATTACTATTCTAACCTTGAAATTTTTAGATTTTACTAAGGACACTTCTGGATGTGTGAAAGGGGTCACTCAGAAATGATAAGTACATGTTGTAATCAATTTTTTAAAAATCAGTAACTATTAACAGAATTTAGAAAATTGGGAACAGCAATACCTATCAGCCTAAAATTATCCTTAAAAAGGATACATTTTCCTTTCTCTATTCTTTTCAAAGAGAATGCTTTCTTTTCTCTTCATAAAAAAGTGAAAATGTGCCACATTTAACAACCAAAAGAAGATGGAATAGGGTGGAGGAAACAGAAAAAGTAGATGATTAGAGAAAAATGGTGAAGGAGCGTTGTGTTCTGAGGCTTTTCCTGGTTTCGAAGGGATGGTTCATATACTTCCTCTGCTTCTCGAACTTTTTTTTTTTAAGTTGAGAGAGGGCGAAGAGGAGTTTTTACCAAGGAAAGTTTAAAAAGTTATTCTTCCTATTTTGCTTTCTTTCCTCCTGTTCAAACAATATTGCCTCTGCTCTTATACCGTTATGCCCCAGATCAGTCCTACATACAGCTCACAAAAATAATTCTTCTCCTTGGTAAATGTACAAGCTGAAAGAAGACTAATATTGGCTTTCATAAACTTGCTTGTCCAGTTTTCTGAAACTTTCTTAGTAAAAGTTGCTATTAAGTAAATTCGAACATTTAGCAATCAGAACTATTTAGGCTTGTATTTGTCCGTATGAAGCCTAAGCTATGCAATTTTTATTTTTAATATTTATATTATTATTTACATTCAATGCTTATATGTTAATTAAATTTATTTTAATTTTATTCTTCTTATTAAAAGTAGTGGTCTTTCACCACTAGAAATGCCAAAATGGCGATTCTTCTCTTGCCTTTCCTCTGGCCATCTGTTTCTGCTGTCACATATTGATTATTATCATGAAATTTCTTGAGGCTATATGAAACTTGTCATTCATCTCATATTGCCTTAGCATCTTCTTTATAAAAAATAAAAACAAATTAAGCGAAGATGATGCAAAATAACCAAATAGTTACATTTTTATCGGTTAGCTTGGTTTTGTTCATTCCTTGTTTTGAATTTCACAGGGTCTTACCAATATAATGTCCCAGAATCATTGCCAGTGGCCTCAGTTGTGGCCAGAATTAAAGCTGCTGATGCAGACATAGGAGCTAATGCTGAAATGGAATATAAAATTGTGGATGGTGATGGATTAGGCATTTTCAAGATTTCTGTTGACAAAGATACACAAGAAGGAATCATTACTATACAAAAGGTAATATTTTCTTGTTTTTATTTTCTATGAGGGCAACATCACAGAGATTGCTGAGCAGCCATGTCTGCTTTGATGGAAGAATGTATTATTAGACAAACTGAATGTCCACATGAAACCATTATTATTTTAATTTTAGGAAGAAAAGCTATGCATTTGTTTTTAGGTGTCAGAATCGTAGGGAATCTTGTATGACATTTGTAATCACACTCCATCAATTCTATTCTCTGAGTAAACCCACAGCCCTTATCTATAGCTCTATAACAATAAGACACACTCACAAATGTACTGTTTTAAATGACCTACTTCAAGACTTGAATTTGCTTCTTCGTAGACTGTTCCAGTAAGGAAACCCTAAAATCAACCAAAGGCCTTTGTAAGCAAACTAGACAAGCACTCCACATCCATGAAAATAATGTAAACAAACTTGGAAATATAAACCAAAATGTTGAAGAGTTGCTATGTTACCAATTATTCTGTTTTAAAATTTATACTAATTGAAGTGCTTGAAGAATTCATACAAACAGCAGAGCACGGAAAGTTGTGAAGCCTATCATAATCCCTTAAATATAAATGCAAAGGCAATAGAAAGTTATTATTATCCAAACTAAAGACTATTTGTCACAGTATATTTAAATTAGCTCCCAACACTGGTTAGATATGGGGAAAATGAGCTCTTTCCTCTCTCTGCTGTATAGACATCATCTTTGACAAATGTTAAATTGAAATAAGTCAAAAGGAATTATTCCAGAATATAGCCTTATTTTCTCAAATATTTGAAACACTGAAAATTAAAATATATATGAAAATCCACACCCCCAAGATACTGGGATTTATGCTAGTCTGACAATCCAGGTGTGTACCTCTGTAATTAACACTTTTCAATTAACACACATCAGTAAAGAAAGTCATATTTTGGTTGTTATAGGAAAACATATGTTTGATTTCAGACCAATGGATAAAATATTTCTGCAACTATTTCTAGTGGACAGATGCTGTTTTAGCTCAGCTGGTAACAATCTGTGTAAAAAAGTTTCAATAACTAGGATAGGCCAACTGTTGGTAAATGTTTTGTTTTCTTGTCTAAAATAAAAGAAGTGCGGTAAGTTACAAATGCTCGAAGATTTCAGAGATTCATCTAAAATCAATCTGCTCATATTCAAGAATTTTTAAATACATGTTTAAATTATTTTTATTGAACACATACGTATATGTTATAAATTATAATGAGATAGAATAAATCATTGAAGAAATATATATACAAATATATATATTTGATATGAGATATTTGTATTTGTACTAGTTATTATTATAATTACAATGTTACTAGATTCATACAAATATTATTAAAAGGCCAAACCAAAATATTATTTAATTGACAGCGCATTATATTCTACTTTGAGTATAGTTGTGGATGAAACTTCTTGTCCAAATGCAAACACAAGGCCTAAAGATTCAGTGGGCTCAAATTTAGTGTATTGTTGAAGCTCTCTCAGGTATTAAAAAAGACACCATAGCCTGTCTAATGAATTAAGATTCAAAAACATTCCAAATCCTTTAAATATTTGGATTAGTGGGTTTTTGTTTTTTTTTCTTTTTTAAAGATTGGCAGCTGAGCTAACATCTGTTGCCAGTCTGTTTTTTTCTTCTCCCCAAAGCTCCCCCAGTTCATAGTTGTATATTTTAGTTGTGAGTGCCTCTGATTGTGCTATGTGGGATGCTGCCTCAGCATGGCCTGATGAGCAGTGCCATGTCTGCGACCAGGATCCGAACCAGCAAAACCCTGGGCCGCCGAAGCGGAGCATGTAACTCAACCACTCGGCCACAGGGCTAGCCCTGGATTTTTTATGTTTGATACTAGAAATTTCCTACCCATTCACAACCACCTGAGTGATGTTTTGCACCTATTCAATAATTGGTAAAGATTTATGAACTGGTCATTATATAACAAGTTAGCTAAGTGTTTTTAATAATTTCTTATAATAAATATGAGATCAAAATTGTGTTATTTTTAGTTTAAATTCTTGGCAATTGAAATAAATTTTATTTTCTCCAGTGGCCTTTAATGTATGAATACTGTCTAATTTTTGTTGTTTTTTCTCCTTTCTTTTCTTACATAATGTCAATGACAGTTTTGGAATAATTAAGCACGCTCAGTATATAGGAGAACCTTGAGAAACAATGATGGTGGACAATTTCACAATTTTACTGCTGTGGCATTAATAGCCAGTAAAAAATTTAATGAAGCAAATCTTTTTGAACTACTGTAAAATGTAGAACTGAGTCTACCATCTAGGTATCAAGGGTCAAAAGTCACATTCAGGTTAAATACAGGACTTCTTAAGAAATCCCTTCAAAGCCCAAGTGTTGAATGCAAACTTGATTTTATATATCATTTTGAGTGTAGTCAAACACTCTGTTTATATGAACAATCATTTAGACTAAGAAATGAGTAATGGTTTATTACTTCTAAGATGGTTAAGTTTGCTCTAACTTGGCTAATGTGGAAGATTGATCTGATGTTTAAGTTTTATCTTCATGTGGAGGATCTCTTTACCATATTGGGGCAGAACCATTACATTCAGAAAGCAAAATAGTCTATAGTGATAGATAACATGAGCTTAAGCAGTGTAGTTCTGCAAAATTTTAATAATTATTAACTCATTATCATAGAATGCGTGTCTATTAAGACAGATGTCTGAAACTTTGCTATTTGAAAAAGGTAATATTTAGACAAACCTATGGAGTTTATAACGTATAGATAATATCTATGTAGAAATCATTGTAAATAAAATTTCACAGTTTTCTTCATGCTAAAAGTCTTTAGTGTAAGCAAACATTGCTTCATACTTTCCTCTTACCCTCCTTGTCCACACAGTTCTGGGTAGATAATAGATATTGGGGTAATTACCTGGTATACATCAGCCTAATTTTTATTTCCGAAGCTCCCTCCACCCACAAACTCATTTTTAAAAATTATAGTTCTGCATTGCCTATTGAGATATTCCAGCACCTAACCAATCCAACTCAGAGTTCTTACCAATATTGAAATAAACAAACATAAATAAGTGGTCCTATCAGAGTTGATTAAAACTAGTGGAAATGAAATATTTACTTTTCTCTGTAGTTCAAGCTTAGTGATTGCTGAATTCTTTTCACGTGAAAAAATTGTTTATGGTATTACAGATTAATTTAGCTTTTAGATGAAAAACTATTAATCCATAATTTTCTCACTTTCAAGCAATTAGTATTTTATTCAAAAATGTAATACACATTTTATGTGCAGTGACTCTGCCTAGTACTGTACAAAGGTCTTCTATTAATCCAGGGCTTGTCCTGTTTAAAAAGCTCAAATAAGGCTCATATTCCAACTCCTGAAATGAACATCAAAGAACTATTGGACCCCAGAATTATTTAGACTTGTATTTGCCAGATCCATATCCCACCATTCCTCAGTTCCATTCAAAGATCTACAGTAGACACTAAGCTACTTTTAATGTCTGCAAGCAACATAAACTTTCTTCTAGCTCTTCAAACATTCTCTCCTCCTGTGGGACTCTCCCGTGCTTGCTCCCATGCCCACTTACTCTAACTCTTCTTTCAAGTCTGGAAAATCACTCCTATTCTTTCTTCTTTAATGCAAATAGGTAAACAGAGGAAGTCAAATTGTCTGTGTTTTTCTTGTTCAAGGAAGGGGGTGTGTGCACACGCGTGTGTGTTTCCCTTCAGTGTTGGGAGTTCTACTAAAAATGTAATGAAGTTGTCTCAGTTCCACAAATACCATAGGTTTTCCATAGGCTTAGCTGTGGCCACAAAGATTTGGATAAATATCCAAGTCTCTACAGAAGTGTCCAAGAGAGCTCAGGCCCCATCTGCCAGCCAACTGCTCAGTCCCACCTAGTCTCTCAAAGGTTTGATCATGGCCTGAGGAAGAAGTTGAATTGTGGATGGATAATACTGTTTCCCAGGTAGAGAGGGAAAGGGAGACTTTCTCACAGAGGTAACCACCTGTGCAAAGATTCACCATAAGAAAGCATGTTAGGTTCAGGGAACTAGAACTAGGTCAATTAATGCGGAAGGGGATGTTGGCAACAGATGAGGCAATGCAAGTGAAGGGGCTCCTCCATGCCTTTCTGCTCCCTTGCAAGGCCGCTGTTAGTAAATAGGAACATACATGTTCATACATGAACATACATGAACAAGATTTGCAAATAAAAATGGATTACAAATAATAAATACTAAAAGATATTTAAGGGACAGCTATAATAAAATATACTGTAGAATAGAAAATTGTATTTTCTAATTTCTCTTGAAGCCTTATTATTGCAACTGTCTGTGATAATTCTAATTCATTTCAAGCATTTTACTTCTTTTCAAAGGACTGTATTATAATGAGTATTGTAGGAGACAAAGAACTATTCCTCTAGCCTCTAGGTCCTTCTGGCTGGTCTAAGAATTAAACTGACATGAGACAGAATAACAGGAGAAAATCAAACATGCTTAATAACATGTCTACATGGGAGAAACTCAGGAAAACTGAGTAACTCACCACGATGGATGAAGCCGCCACCTTAAATACCTAAACTCGGCTAAAGACAAAGGAGGATATTGGAGTAGTAGTTTGGGACTTCAAAGGAGTGGAGGCATGGAGATGGAAAAGCAAATGTTTGGTGAACAACTGTGTGCCATACATTGCAGAGACGATGGGATGTGGGGAGGACTTTGATTCAGTGGGCCTGGCTAGGTTCCTTCCTGTCTACCACGCCTAGTTCATGTTCTACTATGGTTACCCATGGTATCAGCTCCTTCCTGGACCAGCCCTTCTATCTTAAATTTTTTAGGCAGTTGGGGGAAAGTCAAAGTTTCTTTATGAGTCTTTTGTTCTTAAAAATAATGAAGCCAAAGAGACACATTTTTTGGGTGGCAAATTTTGATCCCCCACAGTATCAATATTTATTTAAAATGTTGTCACTTTCCTGTTCGTAGTTCAAATAGCACAGTTT